TGCCTGTGAAACTACCCACCAACAAAGGGCACACCAGAAACTGACAATGACAATAACATAGGAGATGCTATGGCCAAGTGTGTCCAGTCAGCAGTATTGTCTCCGGTCCAGATTGCAGCGGTTCGTTGAGATCCCACAAATCCTGACCTACAAGGAGAAAAACTATGTTTTATCCCAATTCTTCTGATTCACAACTGATTGCTTTTGATCGGCTTTCGTAATGAGATATAATATCCTACGTACGTAGAAATGGAATGGAACAAAAGACATTATAAGAATCAGGCTTTGCGCTGCTACAGGTTCAGAAAAACAATTGAAAACGGTCAATAAAAAAAGTAGCAGCATAAAAACATACCGAGTAAGTATGAATGGCCGATCCTTCCCACCGGTACGTTGGAGTTGCCCTTCAAATGTCGATGAATGTTGGAGAAAACCATACATATTGTGTATCTGCATCAAGATTGAAGAAGATGAATTTGAGTGAACAGAATGAAATCAGAAGCAAATAAGATAAACGGGCTCACTTCTCGATGCTCGATGCCACCGAAATGAAGGGCATCTTTGTTCATGGTCACCTCTGGTCCACTAAATACCTGAATATGCACGCCATCTAATACGTACTCCTCATACTCCGTTTTTATAAAAGAAAAAACGGAGCAAAAGATGGGTGGAAGTAAAAAACCAACTGATGGCTCATTCATGTCGTTCCAAGTAAACAGCTGAGGAGTAGACCCAATGTAGCGGTCAAAAGAAAACTGAGCGGCCCAGTACCTTCGGGTCTGCAAATATTGCAACGAACATTTGAGAAGTAGAGAAACCAAAACCCTTCTACTTACACAGTTACAAAATGATGAAACAAATTACCTCAGGGTTAAGGAAATCCAAATAGGCGCTTGAACCTGGCCAGCAGTGTCCTTCAAAATCAGTTTGGCCGTCAGCCTTTTTCACATATAATCCCATGTCCTTGGCATCTTTATAAATTGGATAGCCATCATCTTTCTTGATATGAGGATCGATGATGGTCACCATTTTACGTCCCTGAAAGTGTTCAAGAAGGTGAACTCCTGATGGAATCTGAATGAAAGAGTTTTCACACCTTCGCAGCCACACCGTCGATCATTTCTTTTGGATGAGCAAACTTATGTGGTTCCCATGTGAAATACTTCTTCCCATCAGTATGCTCAATATCTAACCAAATCACATCCATTGGTATGTTATACACATCAAAGTTTTCGTTTACCTTAAAAATCATTTATTGGACGACAGATGACAGCTGTGCCAATATATTTGCTCCAGCTCATAGCCTACGCAAAAACCAGAAAGCAGATTTTCTCACCTCAGCCACATCCTGTTCATCATTGTAATTCCATCGGCATTGATGGTATGCGATGGAGAACAGTGGAGGAATAGGAGTCACCTGCAAATAGTTGAATACTGAATAAATTGGGTTCAACCAAACTGATGTGTTTCAATCTGAACACTCATTTGATCCAACCATCAGACGATAGCTCTTACTTGAAAACTTACCCCAGTTATTCGGGATAACTGCCGTTGAACGTCCCGTGGTGAAGGCCCTCCGAAAAAGAAAATGTCTATCAAACCAGTTTCAGACATGAAATGAGCGTCAAAGTGTGGAACTTCTTGTCCTGGCACCATCTGTAAAAAAAATGAGGTCCAGTTTTCAAAAGCGATCAGTAGTGATCTATCAATGATTGAGTTAAAGAACCTATAACCTGCAAAATATTCTTTTAAGCGTCCATACCTTGTCCAATACGCTACGGAAAAATCCTTTATTGGAGACGGATGAGCTCGTGTCGATCCATGTTTCGGCAGCATTCAACCTTCAAAAGATTTGGCAATATCAAGAGTCTCTTACAGCGCCCTAATGACATAGGGGGCTTGCGAGCATATATAGGGAAAAAGAGGTAGTTACTAATCTCCATTTTTTCACTCGCAGCATCGCTTTGCGCATCTTTTACTATTCGATTTACTTGCCTTGACCATTGCCATTTTTCTTCACCTTCATGTTACCTACTCGTCGGTCAATCAATCTGTGTTCTCACAAGTTACCTCCCGCTGATAAACCCACCTTCGAACAGCTTAGCACCCCTCCTTTGCCGATGAACCCCACAAGAGTTTGCTTTCCTCGTTAACCAGATGGTGTGCCGCTTTCCCCACCATAATGAGGTGCGGTAAAAGCGGCACACCATCTGGTTAACGAGGAAAGCAGAAACAAGAGGAAGAAAAACACCTATCAAATGCTTGAACAAAATGATAAGAATGCTAAAAAAGGTGATAAATGGGAAAACGTACCAAAGAGCTCCTACTGTGGCATTCTTTTTATGTGCTACAATGTAGGGTACGGCAACATAAAGCGACATTGGATTGTTTATTTCGTATTCGAATACATCCAGATTGTATAACCTATACAAACGAAAATAGTTAAAGAAAGGCAATCCGCGTATCTGCGCTACTAGAGGTATACCTGAAGGGATCTGTGTTGCCTACGGTAGATTTCAATGCGAATGAATCAGCATGTTCTGGTAACCCGTAAGCATTTCGGAAACCAATGAAAGAAACATCAACCTAAACAAAAATCCTTCAAAATCACATTGCAATTCAAACAGAGCGGAACTCACATACCCCAACACTACTGGATCCAAATGGTTTCGAGTCCGTATGCGACTTGAAGGTTTCCTCCCAGAAATTCTCAGGATATTCCTTTGTTTCTTCTTTTAGGCGGTATTCTTCGACCTACAGTAAATAGGTAACAGAATCATGAGTATTTTTTAGAATGTATGAAGGCTTACCATCAGTTTTCCATCGCGATTCACTTGAGCAATGAGCTCCGAGTTCTCGTCGTATAGTTCCACCACAAAAGGTTTGAATGTGATCACTACCTGAAATACTTGCCAGTGAGAAGAAGAATTCCCGCCGGAGATAGAAAACTACTTTCAAACAAGCACCTTCAACTTCTTATCACCGGTGGTAACATGAACGGAATCCGATCTAACATTGACGTCAGAAAACGGCAACTAAAAGGTAAAATATGGAAATTTAAAGGTTGTTGTGATATTTGAAGAAACATTTCAATCAACAAGAAAACCTTCTCGGGTTGACCGTTCAGGGCATGTTGCGGGAAGAAACGCCCTCTAATTGCAGCATCTGTTTCATCTATCCGTAATTGAACTGATGAATCCTAAAAAAGAGCAAACTGCAATCAAAAATAGAAAGCAAGCCGTGAATAAAAATTACTCAGAAAGACAAACTTTCAAGCCCCATAATCGCAAAGCGAGTTTGTTTTGTGGATTTTGAAGTACTGCGGCGACATAGTTGTTATCGACTTTTACTGACTCAGGAAGCACTTCGTAGCCGGTGTCCTGAAAAGCATTCACTATCATGAATAAGGTCCATGATGCCAAAAAACTTTTATTACTCATTTGCCAGGGCTATACAAGGTAATCGCGGGGACGGACGTTCCTTGTCATTAGCTTTACTCCCTAGACTGTTTGAAGGAGGATGCTCAAAATTACCCATTACCGTAAACGGAGAAAGCAATTCGGAGTTTAGAGCTTCTCAAGGAACGAGAAACAAGTAAGCAAAGAGTCAATACATGGTGGGCAGAACAAGTCATAAGATTATGGGACAGCTGGACCAGGGCGATAATGACTAGAAAGCCCTCGGCACTCAAACGAACACCAGAACGGCTTCCAGCGCGATGATCAGGAAGCTCCGAGCATGGTCCATCCGCTGGACTATTCCGGCTAGCGACAGGGAGAAATGAAGACGTTACTGGAGCCCGCTCAAGAAACGGGACGATAGGTGACATAGGTGATTGTGAAAAGACAGGAGGAACACATAAAATGTTACTTCAAGTCGAAATTGAGGCGATGGTCACATTCAAAAAACTGTGCACAGTAGTTGCCAAAGAAGGAAATCCGGAATAGCACCCTTACTCAAACAATTTTAATTCTCCACGATCTTATATCATGAAGTAGCGGTGGTATGATAGATGGTGAACGCTCATGAAAGCAACTACAGGTTGTATAGGGCATGTAGGCCAGCGTTGACAGCTCTGGGAGTACGGGGAGCTAACAATTGTAATTGTAGTTCGCAAGTTCTCATGCACATCCATAACTTCCGTCGTTTCAACGATCATGCTCATAAAATCGATGGCACATAAAGACAAGTTCCCGATCAAAGGCAAACGTACGTGTGCGTAGGACTAGGCAATCTGATAAGCGGGACTCAAAATCGCATGCGTCAGTGACTCAAGAAAGATTCCGAGCAATGCTTGAAACGAAAATTGAGAAAATTATAGATTTACCTTCGCGCCTCGTTGTCTCTTACAGAACCCTGACTGATCACAAGTTTTGAAATCCTCTCGCTTCACAGCCGTTACACTGGCTAGAAGTAGCAAGGAAATTACCCTCAACCACGCCATGAGGGTTAACCAAAGGTTCCCTGGAAAGAAGACCATTTCATGAAAGCACTGCATAGAAATGAATTGGAACGAATTAGATTACGATGAGAAAAATGGTAATATCGGAAACACAATCGGTCGACCGGGTGATGATGAGAATGTCATATTTCATCGTCGCGAAGCAGTCAAACCACAAAAGTACGAGAAAAAGAGATACTTTGTGCGGCAAACCACAAAGAAACGAGTAATTTAGCAAGGAATAACTGAAAGAAAGCACGGAAATCCCAGTTTTTTCGTGAATCCGTAACAAGAGAGGTCCCATGCGTTTAACACAAGCATCTAGAAGAGACGAGCAGGTATGATACCACTTGTAATCAGTCCGTACGCTGATGTGTACTTAGGCAGGGTCGATTCAAAAGCAACCTTCAAATTTTCTGCAATTGCGTACGCAGCAAATTTCGCTGGACACCGTAACCATCGAATTTCTGAAACAACTTCAGGCATTTTTCTCAGGATGATTTCGCGATTTGATCTTCGTTACTACTCAAAGTCCCTACCCAGGAATATCATGTAGGCAATGGCGGAGGTGTGTAGTACCAGTAGGTTGCAGTGTGATTGCCTACAGGGCCGAAACCCAGACCGAAACTGAAGAGGGATCGATTTGAAGATCGTCTAGCCGCGAAAATTAGTTAAAATCGCATATGCACCCAAACGTTTTTACGATCACAAGTGTAAGCCGAACCCTGGACACACCTTGTTGAGGCAAGATGGTGGTAGAAGGAATGGTATCGTCATTAAGTGAACACGGTTAGTTCCTAAGGGTATCAAAAACCAGTTTTTGTAGAGAATATTCCAATAAAGATGGCATTAAGTAAGCCTTCCCTAGCGTATGAAGTTGGTTCAATGCTGCTCTTAGAGCTGTCTCTCTCTATTTACGTAATATTATGGAGATAACTTATGATGAGCTGGTAGTTGAGTTGGAAATATTGAGCTGGTAGACAACTAGAGATACAGAGAGGTCGAAGAGGTCCTAGATGGAAAAGAATTGGAAATAGCACACGGAAGAGACCGAGAGAAGAACAATTTCATGAAGATTGGTATGGAAGAACAAGTGGTCAAGCAGATGGATAGCTATGGACAACGATGAAAAGAGAATACCATGGTGTTGTTGTGAGATGGTCGGCAAAAACTGGTTTTCTTGCTCTACTCTAGGTATTTGGCGCCTTAGCTGTAATCTATTGACTACCAACTAGGTCAGAAGTGGCTATGATTATTATTGAATCATCCATGAAGCAACCGATTTTGATAGATCCCAAGACTTGAAGAAGCACTACCATTAAAAATTAGCGGGGGCTCTGGGTACACGGCGCATCCGATCTACACGAAGAATTATAGCGATGTTTGGCTAGAGAAAGTCCACCCTGAGGGACTTGCCAATGTAGGATTCGGAACTTTAGTCATCAGGAACGAAATTTGGTGTTCAATGAGGGAGGGCAAGGGAGAGTGGTGTAGAGGAATTAAGGTTGCTCTCCCCAGGGTTTAGTTGCTCCCTGTGTCTCATGATTTTT